CATTGAACCACAATACTGATAAGTGATTAATAAAAGTCAAAAGACCAAAGAGGTCATCTTAATATCAAAAAAAAAAATAATAATAATTGTCTTAGATTGTACTAGTAAATATTTAATCCCTATTATAGCTAGATTTATTTTTGATACATAGTTTTTATATCTTGATTCATATATAGCATTAATAGCAACTATTTTTTTAAAAATTTTTTCATTTAAAGAATAATTATTACAACTATCATTATCATTACATGTAAGAACATTAATAAAATTAACAATTACTAGGTTGCAATTAGCTAACCAATTATTGGAAACAAAATCTAATAAATTATTAAGAGAAAATCTTTGCTTATTCAAAATTAATAATTCAATATCATCATAAACACTTTGGCATTCTTGGTTTGTATTTTGAATAATAAAATCAAATTTTTTTTAACTATTATATCAATTTTCCCATTTAGATTTTAATAATTATTTTGTTTAGTTAGTTTTTTATTTACTTTATTTATTTCTTGGATATGATCCCAACTCTCTACTATATAATCATATGTATATTTTAATTGTTTTTTAAGATCTTTTATCTTATTTATTTTAAAATTTAGCTTTAATTGAAGTAAGCAAACATAATTTTCAAGAGTATGCTACATAGTATCAAATGCTTGAATGCTGACCTTGTGGGTCTTTTTATTAACTTGTACACCAATCTCATTAGTTTGTGCACTAGCTTGTATCCCAATTTCATATATAGTTTCATCATAAGTATACCACATATAAGACTGCCTTTTGGCAAATTTATTATTAAAATTATTAGTAATTTTTTTGGTTTTAATTATTTTTTGGATAATTGGACAAATTTGAACTTAAGATCATTTGATGCAAAAAATCAGATACAATTAATTAGTTATAATGCTTTTTATATAAAGAAAAATCTTTCAAATATGTTTGAATTTGAACTAATTCAGGAAAAAAATTATTATACAATAGAAGACGATCTTTTGGTAAATTACTATTTGTATGTTATTTTATTTGTAAGTTCTTAGTTTCACACTCTAATAAGCCAATATTATTATATAAAAGAACCAAAGTAGCAAGAACACAAGGTAAATCTTTTATTCTGGTTGTTGGGAAGCTTCTACTAATTAAAAAAAAACAAAACTTAAGGTAAGCATCAATAGATTTTATCAATGTTATTAATTTCTTATTCTATTAATAAAAATTATAATATATTTTAATTTCTATTGCCCTATTCTATTGTTCTATTTATTTATTGTTATATTAATATCTATTATAATATTAGCAATTTTTTATTCTATTAACAAACTTTTTATTCTATTCTAAATTCTATTACACTATTCTATTGTTCTACTGTTCTATCCATCTATTGCTACTAACACTAATTTTAATATAACAAAGGTAATAAAATAAATAAATTATTACATACTAGTTTAAATTATATAATATTTAAAAATTTGTATAGCAATAGTGAAAAAGGATTATATTCCCAAGTTGATATAGTAAATCACAAAATACTAGTAATTATTAGAGTATATGTAATATCTGAATAATTATAATTAGCATTAATAATGATATATCTTTCATATAAGATAAATAAAGTACTTATATATAATTTTTTTTTTCAATATTAAAAATTTCTAATAGATCACTGAACTAGATTAAGTGAAGTTCACAATGAAGTACCAAAATACTAGAGTATCAAAATATTAACATTGTTTATAATATTAAGAGTGGAGGCATCAGACCAACAATATAATATAAAAACTAGTGCTAGGTGCTAGCTCCCAAATGTATTTATGAATAAAAAAGAAAAAAAGTTTAATAATTTAAGAAATACCCACATTTTGCTATAGTTTTAAACTTTCAACCCAAATTGATTTTGGAGAAACATTGACTGATTATAAAACTATTTGATTTAAACCTTCTAATTTTATAAGGCTTTATTATGTTACAAGACAATTTTGCATAAATTTATTATATGAAACTTGTAAAAATGTTAAAAATTTAATAAGAATAGATAATCAATTTTCTAGATCATTATCTTTGTATAACTAATCATATTCTAGAATAATCTACAATATATGCACCAAATATAGAAATATCTCTAACTAATATAAGCTAAAGGTTTTTATAAAGTTTACAAAAGCATTAAATATATTTTTTTGTTTTTAAATTATTAGTAATTAATAAAAAAATTTATGAAGGCCAAGTAGGAATATAATAACTTTTAAAAAGTTCAGTAGGTATATCTAATTTATTATAAGAAATTAAATTATCTTCTGGGTTATATAGAAAGAGAATATTATCTGAAAGAATAATATTATGATCAGAAATAGATAGTAGAATAGAACTTCCTAAATTTTTAAAATATTAACTAAATTCTTTTGGTTTTTTGAAACTAAAACTTTAAGAAGTATTAAGATAAAGATTAAAGGCATTTTGGTATTCAAAAGGTAAGATAAAAAGTTGAAAAAGATCAGTATATCTTCTAACTAGAGCTAAAGTTATTGTTCTAAAATTACCAATGTCTTGTTGATATAAACAACTAAAAATACTATTTCTAAAGCAAAGGCAAAGTGTAATTTAATCTAAATATGAAGTAGTAAGAATAATAAAATTGCTCTGAGTTTGAGCAAAATGATGTTAGACTAAAAAGGTAGTTCTGTATCAAGTTTAAAATTGTCCAAAAGATGAGTAGGAACTAGTATATCAAGAGAAGTAATACTGAAAATATGATAAATCTAAATGCTATACTTAAAGTATGACTATTACAAAATAAAATTTAGTTAAATATGCTTGTTAATAACTTTAAATATTCTTATTGTAAGATTTAGCAATAGTGTAAACTATAAAAAAAAGAAGTTTAATTAATCTAATATATATTTAAACTCTGCTAAAATAACTAATACTTATCTAAGTCTTTTGTCAGAATAATAATATTTATTTAAATCTCTTATTAGAATAACTTTTTAATATGTTCAGAAATATCTTATCTGGGATGACTTATTTTTCTTTAAAATTTTAACCTTTTTGCCAAAAGGCTTCAAATGTTATATATAAAAGCTTTTTTAATTTTCATTATAATAATAATATAGTATAGAAAATCTCTTATGTATATATATGATATTTAAAAGAGAAGTATACTTTCTATTAGATATTGCCAAAAAACTATATTCTTCTCTAAGACAGTTCAGAAAAGGTAATGCAATACTAATAACTTTACTTTAATTTACTAAGAAAAGATAAATCTTGTCTGTAAGAATTAACCTAAAAGAGGAATATTAATACAGTTTATAGTTAAAAGCTATTTATTAAAGTAATTACAGAAAGGGCTATTCTTAGATTTCTGTTTCTAAAGAATTCTAAGAAGTGTTTACAATATTAAAGAAAAAAAAATTTCTGTTGCTTACTCAGCTTGAAGAATTTAGCAATGTTTATATATTTGTAAACTAGGCAGCTAAGCAACTAAGTAATTAAATAACTAAGTAATTACTAAGTAACTAGAAGATTCTAGCAACTAGTAACTAATGATTACTAAGTAACTAATTACTAAGCAATGAAATAACTAAGTAACTAACTAGCTAAATGACTAAACAACTAAGTAACTAAACAACTAAGTGACTAATTGACTAAGCAATTACTAAGTAAGTAAAAAGTTCTAGTAACTACAAATAATAATAATACAATAATAAGAATAACTAATACTAAATAATAATAATAATGATAATAATAAAATAATAATAATTTATATTACAACAATATAATGTTGTAATAACTACATTGTTATGTTTTGGATATTACAAACATTTTTGATAGATCTTCTTATTGGTTGTTCAAATTCAAGATTGTTATATTATTAGTAGTATAATAACTTATATATATTGTTATATATAAATTCAGTTTTTTGCTAATTATCTGCTATATTGTTAAAAATGTTATTGCTATATACAGCTACTTTTGAAAGTTGACTTCAATTTGGTAAGTTTTAATTAGATTTAGTAAAGTGTGCTATATTGGCCAATAATTATAAAAATATCATTTGTTTGATGTTGATAATAATTTATAAAGATTGTTATATTTAGATATTATAGATTGAAGTTTGTAAAAATTGTAACCTAACTAGATCTAAGACAGATATTAATTGCAGATAAAATAGCAATAAGTTTAGCTTTGTATAAAAAAAGCCAAAGCTTAATTTCTGTTAAATAGCTTTGTATAGTTGTGTCAATTTAAACTTAAACCTAACCAATTTTTATTTTATATTGTTTAAATGTAATATGTATTACTGATCTATTAGTATAAAAAATTAGTTGTAAGTAGTTGATATTAGTTGTGCAATTTGTTGCAGTATTTGTATAAAATAATTATTATTAAATATTTTAAGTATCTAATTATTATAAATTATAATTGTAAAAGGTGTAGATATTGTAATATGATGTTTTAATGCAATTAAGTATAATAAGTCTAGTAGATTGGAATATAGGTTAAGTCTTTTAAATAAGTTTGTAAAGACAGTTCTTCTTAAATATTTGGTTGCAAGCCTAGCTATAATTTTAAATATATATTTGTTTTATATATGATTAGAGTTTAAAGAGCATTTTGTATATTGCTTGCAAATATAATCTGAATGAAAATATAATACAGTTTGTGAATATCAAGTAGATTGTTCGATGTATAATAAAGATAGAGTCATCTATTTGATTATGTTTTCTGGCTTTTCCAATAATTATATTAGTTTGGTTGTATGTAAATAACCAAAGTTTTGGTTTAATTTTGTAGTACCTAGTTGTAAAAGATAGTGTATTTATATTTAATAACTATAAATATTAAGAATTGATTTCTTTTGTTTGTTAGAAGGCAAATAGTTTGTTTTTTAATGTTAAAAACTATAGTAGTTTATAATCTTTAAAAATTTGTTGTATTTGTAAAAAAATATGCTGCCAGTCTAATAGTACTGAGTTGTTACTTAAAGTTAGTTGTTCTAGATACATAATTTGTTTTGTATAGAGTTGTTTTTTGAATTAAGAATATAGTTGTATAGATATAATAGTTTTTTAATAGATGTGTATAAATGTTGAAGTGTGAAGAGTTTGAAGTAGCTTGAATGTATTTGGATAGTTAGTTGAAGATTATTAGATAGTTGTATAATTTTAAAAGTAGTATTATATTTATTTAATTTAACTATTATTGGGTTTTTAAAATATAAAATATTGCATGTTAACTATAAATTATTTTATAATTGTTGAATCTAATTTGAGTACTTGTGTTCATAAAATTAGGATTGTTAATGTGAAATAGAATGTTTGTAATATGATGTTGAATTTGTATATCTTATATATTTTTAATACTATATATATTATAGTTTTAATATACTATGTAGTGTAGTTATAGGTAGTTTGAATTTATTTACTTTTTTTTTTGTGTTAAACTAGCTTATTTTAGAGCTAGAACTTTTTATTCAGTAGTTAGAATATAGAGACTCATAGAGAAGTCTTCTTATATTAGAAAGTACAACTAGGCACACATACACTTTTGGTGTCTAATTAAATAGTCCACTGATGCTTTACACTAGCTGCCATACCTGCAACCCAACTAGGAGTGTTTTTTATTTAAACTCTCTGTACTGCAATCCTTACTATATCACTAGATCATTTTCATTATATATGTTAGTCGAGAAGGTCTAGATGCTTACCTATATCCTTAGGACCCCATATCTTATTTTATGCAGTATATTTTCAGAAGCAGTGTTACTAGAGCCTTTTATGTTCCATATATAGCTAGTCTAGTTTTATGTAACACACTATAGTTATTTAACACTTGCAGTCAGAGCTAACCTTAAACTGCTACATTACATTATTTTTACTCTTGTAAAGTTTAGTAGAACGTTAGTATCTATCTTTCTGGCATCTTTTCTATTATCTTCTACTAGGCACAACTCAGAACTGGCAGTCTCTTCCAGACTACCAATCCAGATGACTCAGTATGTTATACTTCTGTATCCTTTTTTTTTTGTAAATCTGGCAGCCTAGTTGGTTATATGCTTCTTTACATATTTGATGTCTGGTTTTAATCTTCAGTTTCTATAAAGTTGTTTTGTTGACTTCAACTGGTTTGATGATATTGTTGAAAGTTCATGTTACCTTTTTACTTAGGAATTTCCAAGTGAGTTTCTATCACTTCAGTTCTTTAGTCTTCTATGCCAAGTGGTCTTATTATGGGTTTGCACTAAAGTCTTATGCAAAAATGGTTATACATTTCTCTATGTATGTATAATGTTATATTTCATATAGATGCCTTGAGCTTTCAATGTTGGTAGGACCTAACTTGGTATACCTAAGTTACATTCACATGAGGCCAACTGATCGACAAAAAAAGTTACTATAATGCAGATATAATTACCAAATTTTATCATAAGTGGAATTTGAACCTTAGACCTGCTACTTGAAGAATGACAATCTAATTACTACACTAAAATTACCATTCTTGATAGTTTGAATTTAAATTTAGCAGTAGTAATGTATTATAATAAATAGAGTTACATATTATATATAGTCAAACTATATTATATATGCAGTATTCTAAAATAAAGTTAATCATTGTGTTAATAATATATACTACTTGTTTATCTGATATATTTTTGGTTTTAAGTATTTCATTAAGTCCTAATACTTCTCATTTAATTAGTTTGATTTGGGTAGCATATTTGAAGATAGTTGTAAACCAAAATCCTAAAAACTTAAAATATGTATATCAAGGTAGTGTTTGTATTGTAAAGTTTATAAAATAAATAGTTGAAGTTAATTTTGTATTAGAAATAAAGATAGATTTGTGTATATTAACTTTAATATAAATTATAGTATAGAATGTTGATATTGTTTGAACTATCTTTTAGAGCTGTTTTTTTGTTTTAATTAACCATAATGTATTGTTCATGTATTTTAAAATTGATATTAAAGTTGTTGTTAATTAATGTTTTATTGAGTTAAATTGAAAAACCTATTTGGTTGTTAAGGTATATTTAGTATATTTTTTGTTTATATTGTTAATAAGTAATTATAGTTTATGCACCAGAGAAAAGATATTATAGTTTCTTTTTGGTCAATACCATCTTGTACTTTGTATAAGAAAAAGTAACTAAAGTTAGTAATTACTTAATTGGAGCAGTTGTAAAGCAGATTAATTATAGTATTAACTAAAGATATGGGTATATATATTTATTATAATGCTTTATTAAAAAGATGAATATTTACTAAATATAAGCTTTACTTATGTTTTGTGATAGGATTTAAATTTGTTTTTTAGTGCAAGTTGTATCTTCAATAAAGTTATTAAGTATGTGTATAGAATTTTTTTTTAAAAATGAAGCCTGGCCTTAGTCTTTATTAAACAATTTAATATTATATTAATAAAAATAAGTTATATAAATTATTACATGAACCTATAGCTAGGACTAATTTATTCTCAGCTCAAAACTCTACTAGAGTAGGCTGTTAGATCTCATTTAGATTTAGTGTTACAATGTAAGATATAGATATATTAGTAGTAGAAAAGATAGTTGCCTATTTTTCATATTTTGTTGTTGCTACTTGGTCTGTAGCTGAGTGTTCTGGAGTAGTAATTGTTAGTATATTTATTAGTTGGCTGTTTTGATGCACAGCTTTGCATCTTTCTATCCATATTTGTTTATAAATATTATTTAATATTTTGTGAAATAGAGTAATAATCATGCTTGAATTAATATTGCTATTTGAGAATAGATTATTTAGAATTAGGTCTTGTAGCTAAGAAGGTTGTATATACTGTTTGGAATTTGAAAGAGTTGTTATAATAATGTTGGTATATTTTGTAATTTAATTTTGTTTTTAGTAAGAAATTTGAAAGTAGTTTGCTGAATTACTTGGTTTAAAGATGTAAGGTTTGTCATGCATTCAAGCCAGTAAAAGTTGTTTTTGATATGTATAGTGCAATGATTACAGGTAGGGTTGGCATATGTTTTGGATTTTCTGTAATGTAGGTTTAGTAGTGTTGGTAGCTCATCTAATAGAAATTTGATTTTGAAGCTGTTTAATTGTGAGTATTTGGGATAGATAGTGTAAGTATTAGGTTTGTTATTGTAGTTGAGAAATTCATATGTTAAGTTACAATTAGTGTCTTTTCAAATATTATTTCAGTATTTTTTTTTTTTTTTTTTTTTTTTTTTTTTTATTCTTTGGCAGCCTTGCTGGTCACCTTTATTAAGATTCTTGCATACACAACTTTGCATGAAGTTTGCTTAAATTTTGGCCCAACACCCCTCAGCTGCTTCTAAGAGTGCCCAAGAGTGGTCTGCCGCACTGGCTAGACAAAGATTAACAGCCAGAGGTGATACCAGATCTGCCAGTAAGGCCATACAATGGTCTCGAATTAAAAAAAATTTTATAAAGAGAACTATAAGTGATCATCTAAGCTATGCTATAGTTGTGACCAACACTTGCAGTCAGGGCTAAACCTTTAACTACTATGCTCTTGGTGACCTTTCTATTGAGTAGACTATATACTCTATCTAATTTACTTCTACAAAACCCTCCTAGTTGTAACCTTTTCTTTTTCTTTTTTTGATATTTCCATCCAAATACTTCTTTGCTTCATCTTTTTCTTTTCTTCTTTGCTCTTTCTAATCTTCCCTTTTCTTTTATCTTCTCTTGATCTTTGGTTTTTTGATTGACATCTATTTTCTTCTGTCTCCAGTGGAGAGTGTTCTTCTATAATGATCCTTTTCTTATTACTTTTTTGTTTTCTGTTAATTGTTCTTCTTCCTCTTGTTCTCTAGGTTTTGCTTTTACTTGCGATAGGCCAAACTCTTGAGGTTTCTTTATCAGAATCTTTAGATTACTTCTTTCTACTTTCTCTTTTTCTGTTTGCAACTTATCTATATTCTTATTCTTTTGCATCCACCAATCTGCATTAACGATTTTCTTTTCCTTTTTTTCTATGCCTCTTTAGCTTCTTGATCAAATAGTTTTTTATTATTTTTCTTGTATATTCTTTTACTTGTAACCTTTTCTGTCTTGTTCTTGAACCTCAAGATAGCTATTTTCTTGATGTTCTTCTAGCTAATTTTCGGTCTTGATTCTTCCTTCAGCTCTTTTAGCATTTTTCACATTTTTTGTCTACTTCTATTCACAATCTGTTTTGTTGTAATTTTTTTCTTTATCATTTGATGCGTTGATTGCTGTGCTTGGGCTCTTCTTTTTTCCTTTTTTTTCTTTCGAAGCCTGGCTTTTTCTTTTGTTAATGCTTTTTGAAATTTTGCAACAATTTCTTTCTTTATTGCATCTACATGGTGTTTTTGCTTTAGAGCACATATTTTCATCATTCTGTTACTCCAACCTACTTTAAGTCTTCTTTCAAATTTTAATGTTGTCATACTTATTAGCCCATACTGTGCTTCAATTGAGTTTTTCATTTTACTTAGTGCACCATTTGTCTCTAATTCTACACATAGATTATGCACCTTCTTGAGTCTATCTAGTTCTTGTGTTGTTAAAATTCTACTAAAATACTTGCTAATTAACGAAAAATCTTTTGCTTAGATGGATGTTACTGCTATAGGTTCTGTTTTCTTTTTGTTTTTGTCTACCCTTTCATATTCTTCTACTTGTTTCTTTTTCTTTTTCTTCTTTTTACTTCTCCTTTCTGCTGCTTGTTTTTGTCGTTCCATTTCTTTTCTTCTAGAACCTTCTTTGTTTATCTAGATCTGTTTTTCAGATTGGTCATCTATTCTATCATGTGTACTTGTTTGTTTACTTTGTTTTGATTTTTCTGCTTTGTGTAACCAAACTGATCTGCAGAAACAAGATAACGACAATTCCCACTTTTTACAAAATTTTTGTTTTTTTACTGTTGTTTGTTGACAGTGCACTTTTTCCAAGTTTTTTTTTTCCTTTTTTTTTTTTTTTTTAACAACTAAGTGTAACTTTTGGAGCTCTTTAACTTTTTTTAGAGCTTCAAATATTGTTTCCTAGTGTCAGTTTTCATATTTCTTGTGGTTTGCTTCTTGGAAATTTTGGTCGAGGGATCTGCAAAAGAGAGTGCCGAAAAAATTAAAGATTTAAGAATAAGTTCTTTGAATATAATATTAAGATAATATAAGTTTGTTTGAAAAGACATATTGTAAAAAGTATAATAATTACTAATTTTGTGAATAAGTTCTTCTTGCTGATTTATAAATAAATTAAGATTTGTATTGTTAATATATTCAGATATACTAATTTGAATAATATTGAAAATAAGTAATGAGTTTAAGCATATATATTAGTAAGTTAAAGAGTCAATTAAATTTCAATAAAAGCAGTTAGTATTTTAAAATATATGTGGATAGGTTTTGTGAAAATAGAAATAAGTAGGAAGTTTATTTAATAAAGTTTTAATTTTAAATAATTTAAGATAATTAAGTTTAAAGTTAGTAATATTATGTGTTGTTTTTTAATTATAGTTAAAATATAATCAAGTTGATCTTCAGTTAATTTAGGAAATCAGAGAGTCTTATTCTATATTACATTTCTGAGAAGACTATATTGCTAAAATATAAACTCTGCAGATATTTTTAATAAAACTTCTAGTTGAATGCTCAATAAAATATTAGTTTTAAAAAATTATATAATGTGAATTATAAATGCTTGTATAGTTAAAGTATAGTATAGATGATGAATTGTATTATTTTGCTAATGAATTAGCTAAATTATTAAGAGTATTATTAGAGTAAGCTAATATTTTATAAAAGTTAATTTGGTAATTATAAAATTTGGTAATATTAAGCAAAATATATTATATAGACTATAAGCTAAATTTGAAAAATTTGTTGAAATTTAAAAAAGTAGTATATATTTTAGAATATTTGGTAATTATTAACTAAGAGTTAATAAAAATATTAATTATTGAATTGCAGAGTGTTGTTAAAATAGCTAAAAAAATTAATATTAATTTAGCTTTATAAGAGAATAGTCAATTATATATTAAATATTTAAATTTAAATAAACTTTAACTATTCTAATAGGTTTAAATCACAAATAAATTAATTTAAATCTTTATTTTGCATGTAATTTTTAATTTATTTATTTTATACAAATAGTAATAGTGAGGATGGCGATCCTAGTGTAGTGGTTGGGTTGTCATCCTCCAAGTAGCAGGTCTAAGGTTCAAATCCCACCTATGATAAAATTTGGAAATTATATCTGTGTTATGGTAACTGTCTCCTGTTGATCAGTTGGCCTCATGTGGCTGTTACCCAGGTACACCAGGCTGGGTCCTCCTGGCTTTGGAAGCTCAAGGCATCTATGCGAAGTGTAATATTACATGTACATAGAGAAATGTTACCGGTGTTGCATAAGATTTCGGTACAAACCCATGATAAGTCCACTGGGCGTAGAAGACTAAGGAATTGAGGTGACAGAAACCCATTTGAAAATTTCCGAGTAAAGAGATAGCATGAACTTTCGACGGTACCATTGGACCAGTTGAAGCCCATGAAACACCTTCATAGAAACTGAAGATTAAAACCAGACGACAAATATGTGTAGAGGAGCATATAACCAATCAGGCTGCCGAGTTCGCCAGAGGAAAAGGATACAGAAGTATACCATACCGAGCCATCTGGATTGGTAGTCTGGATAAATGAGACTGACGGTTCTGAGTTGCGGCTAGTAAGAGATGATAGAGAAGATGCCGGAAAGATGGGTACTGGGGTTCTAGTAAACTTTACAAGGGTAGAAATAGTGTAATGTAGTGGTTAAACAGGTAACCCCT